CATGCATTTCTGTTCCAGTTACTAAGTGCTCCTCCAAACCTGGTGACACAATAGCTCAGCAACTTCTTGTAAAAGGCACTTTTAACTTTTGGTTTGGCTTCATGATTAAAAATATCCAGGTATTTGATGCCATTTTAATTGTAAGTCAGTTTGAAAGAAGTTTCAGTGTTTTAGGCTGCAGCTGGTAAAAAGAACATGGTGAAAAATATATGCATTTAAAGGTTTCTTTAAGGAAATACTCTAATTTCAGGTAAGCATAGGTAGAAAAACTGTATACTAGTTGTGATTTTTCCCTCTAATGTTAATTGATCTTTGTTTATTGATGGTATTTAAATTTTAGTAGCTGTCTAAAAGCCTAGGAACAAGTAATAGGTTTATTCCATGCTAAAAAATAGAAGAAAGAAAAAAAACGTTTCGGCCGTGGAGCCTTCTTCAGGTGTCACCTGAATACCTGACACCTGAAGAAGGCTCCACGGCCAAAACATGTTTTCTTTCTTCTTTTTTTTTAGCATGGAATAAACCTATTACTTGTTCATTTGCAGCCTACGCATGCTGACGCAGCTACCAACCTGAATGTCTAAAGCCTAGGTTTAACTTACGGCATCACCTGTTTTTTCCTTACTATCGACCCACTATAGATAGCAATGAATTTTCAAAGGTTTCAAAAATCCATCTGAAAATGACCATTTAATCTGGACATCCACAAATATATTAAACATTTTTAAGGTTTTAAAATGTAACAGAGCAACTGATTTTTGTTAGTGGTTGCAAGACAAAAAAAAAAATTACTGATGCATTTTCTGGGTAAAAGAATAGCATGTAATATTTACAGGCCAAATGTTATGAATTTGCAGGACTTTATAAAGGCATTTTGAGTGAAACTATTAGACAGGATTGCACCTCTGCACTTATTCCTAGACAAACAGATTAGCCGCAGACCATGGCTTCTCTTTTCAAACAATGACTTTATTTACAGGATGTTGGGTCAAAACATCTCTGTCATCCTGCCTTTTCCTTTTTGTGCGACAAGCTTTTTGTACAAACCAAATCCCATTTGAGAATGCCGGATTAGAATACAATTGGGTCAATTACAATGTGTTATTTTCATTACATCAGTGGTCTATGTGTGTTGAGTCTTTAGGTGGCCTTTAGTGTCAGCCCTGTTGTAATTACAACCCGCTGTGTGGGCAGTCTGCCCACTCCTCCTTGCCCAGGAGGGACCAGGGCATTTACAGTAGTACCCTCCCCATCAAGGGATTGAATCTGAGCCAGACGTGAGGCAAAGAATGGGTGGGAAAGGCACTCCAAAGAAACCAGGAGGGTTACTCTTCTTCTCCCAAATGTATTGCATAGTGCAGAATATTAGTTACAAATAGAAATGTAGGCTTTGTTCAAGCCTACAGCCCTTAACAAGGCCTGTAGGCTTTGTTCAGTTGAGGCTGGCCCTCAGCGCTCTTTACCTAATACTTAATATCTTTTGACTAAATGTCTTGTTGTGATTAGACTGGTCTTTTTTTGTCAGTCCTTCATTGTTATGTAATGCCCTTCCTCCGCCACTTTGAGAAATACATTTTTACTCTCTTCAAATCTCAATTTAAAACTTTATTTGGGTGAGTACTTTTTGCTTTACTAATCTGATTGAAATATAGGATAAACTGTTAGGCATTTTATGTACTTTTAAATGTTTTTTTTTCTTCTTCATCACTATGTACAGCATCTGTGGGTTTGAAAAGACGCTTTATAAATAAGCTAAAATAGTGTAGACAATGCAGTACTTTATGAAAAAAATTCAGTATATGAAAAAATGGTAACTTATAGGGGTTTTCAATGATTACAGAATCAATTATGATTCACTGTGGGGAAGTTACTTACATAGCAGCAATACCTAGGAATATGTAAATATAAAGCAAAAATAAGCAACAGCATTTACGCAGTTTGATCTTGCACAGCAGAAACTCCCATACAATTAATAAATTACAAGGTTATGACTTACTTAAAACAGTTAAATAAAAATGTATTACTTGAATGCTAAGTAAATTGTTTCATCAAGGTGTTGCATGAATTTAGGCGTACAAATAGTGTACTCTCCTTGGACTATAGTGGTGATATTGCTTATACAACTATTGTTGAAAAACATAATGTACTATGGTACTATTTTTCCATAAGATTTACCACTGATTCCTCCATGACACTTATCTGTGTGGACTTTCATTCATTGGCCCTCACTATATACTGTGAAAATGCTACGCTGGTTTAGTTGCAGATATTTAATTGAGAAAACCTTATTTAACAATTGGAGTTCTCTGAACCACCATACAATTTAAATTTTTTGTATTTATCAAACTCCCAGTTTCCCAGGAGCAAATAAAAGGTTAATGTCATTTTGATTTGCTGGTAAAAAAGACTGAAACAAGTAAGCTGAAAATACAGTATGTATACCTATGTATCTGGGGGTAACCTGAATTGCATGATTTTTTTTCTTCAAATCTTTTAGCAATTGTGTACTTAGTTGAAAATAAAGCTTAACTATTTAAGGCAGGACAAACTGACATCTGCTCTCTCCAGGTTTGTGAACCCTGCCTTTTTATTTAGTTAAATTTAATACTATCCAATGGTCAAGAGAAATGAGAAGTAATATTTCTATAACCTGTACTTTTACAACTGAGACTAAATGAATCCTTTAATTTAACTTGTTTCTTAATTGTACTTGGTTTTGGATGTAGTCTGCTGCAGATGTGTTGCAAAAAAAGGGAGCAAACCATCTCCTGGATGTGCTTAAGTTATTGTTGCCTTATTTCTGTCTAAAAATCTCATAATTTACCAGTCCTGATGTACGGACACAGGTGGGCAAGGTGCCATGATGCACTCCCACCAAAAACCTGACTGGTGCAGAGCTTCAGTTATGTCAATTTCACAGACTTGAGTGAGAGGAGTTGTGAAATCCATAAAGTGGTCCAGGCTTGATGCCAACCAAATTCTTAAGCATCTTAAAGAGGAACTGCAATGCTATTTTTATATTTCGAAGTTAGAAAGAATCAGCATTGATGAGTGCATTTCTCATCAAACCACAGTAAAAATTAAATGTACACAGTAACTTGTAAAATCTCAAATTTTCACCACAAAAAAGACAAAAATGTCCAGGTATGTGCAATGCCATATTCTGCGATTCAGAAAAAGGCAACAAAACTTCCAGTGATGTGAAGCAGCCCAATTACATTGTAAACATGCAGGCATGTGCATAAATCTTTTCCTCTAATAGAAATATTGCTCTTGACCTTGAGACAGTTTTGCTGATAGATGGAACTTGTTAACTCTCATGTAGATCACTTTGGAAACTTTCTGTGGTGAGATATCTGCTGCAGAACCTGTACTTAATTCACTTGCACATCGCAATACTTTAGTTATTACAGTGACTAGCAAGCAGAAAGGGCCACCTCATATCAGTTCTCGCAAATGCGCACTTTCGCCCTTGGTGAGACCAAGGCTTTGTGACAACATGATGACTTACAGTACTTCCACAACAGTTCTAACAAATATGATTTTTTTTTCTATACTGTCAATGAATTTCTTTTATTACCAAGATTGAATAACCGGTCTGCATAATTTGGCCTGCATCCCTAGTTGATTAGTAAGAGATCAGTTGGAATAAAAAATGAGAGGATTAGGTTTATATAATATCCAGTTTTACTGCAAGTTTGGTCTCTAAATTTTGTGTAGTAGAATCTTAATGGTATTTCTCTTGACATGAAAACCACAACACAATCACACAATACTGCTTAATACAGTATTTCAGTACTTACTATACTGTCTATATTCAAGATATGCAAAATTTAATGAATCATTTTATATTGACTATATTGTATTAAGTTATCTCATATATATTCAAACTTCTAAAAAATTAAAACCAGTTAAGTGGTAAAAATAAGTGTGTATTGGTATATGCATATGATGTCTCAGCAAGGGTCTTACCTCAGGGTCAAATCTTAACTAAGACTTCTAATGAGGTGTCTTGAGTCCTGTTCAGTAGTGCATCTTAAGTGATTGCGTATGGTTTTTGATTAGCTGTACAAATCTTGGGTGGGATAATTCTCTAGATGTCAATATAATATATATAGGCTTTAGTTTTGCAGGTTTCATCAGAAGTGATCTCAGTGCAGTTGTATTAATTTCAATTATATAGAAAGTGTTGTCTTTTAAATTTTTGTGGTATGATAGTATTTTGTCAGCTTACTGGGCAAAACATTATGATGAGTGAATGTTATCTTACTGAAATGGTGCTAGTTTATTTCCCGAATGTTAAACCAGCAGTATTCACCTTGGCCAATCCTTTGATTTTTAGGGATCATCTAGTAGCTTGTGCTACACTTTCTTAACTTTTAATAAAAAGCAATACTACAACAAGCTCAAGTAGGTAGCTGTGTCAGCTTGCGTAGGCTGCAAAGGAACAGGTAAAGGTTTATTCCTTCCTTCCTTTCAGCATGGCATAAACCTTATCTGTTCATTTGTAATGCTACAACAATACTACTAAGCATAAAGGTATTGTCTGCTGTGTGACTTTGTAGCTTGAGTGGCCTCTGGACAGCTATGATTGAATCCTGGTGGGGGTAAAATTGCACTCATGAAGTTGATGTCATGACTGGGATTACATAGTATGTCAGTCCCCTTAACCTGCTGCTGCAGTGGACAAGAAGGAGTTGAGAGGAATGTAATGGGGCTCATTCGTACTGAAACTGAAACACATGTAGATGTCATGGTTTTGCAACCTAGATAGTGTGGAAATCTCACATGGCAGGTGGCCTGGTGTTCTGGTTTAGTGGAATTTTGTTCTTGGGAGGGGTGCTGTAAGGATTTGAAGCTGGAATGACCTGTAAGTGGCCGGATCAAATCCTGGCAGGGGAAGAAGCTGCACTTATTACTACATGTGTTGCTTGCTTGTTTTTTAACTTTTTTTACATTTACATTTTGTGTTCTGAAGTCAATGCTTTCTTTTTTTCCTGCAGCCTGTGGTACGGCAGCTGGTGGTGTTGAAGATGAAGGGGAATCGGAGGCAGGCTGGATTGAAGGGGCAGCAATTCTGTTGTCTGTTATATGTGTGGTGCTAGTAACAGCTTTTAATGACTGGAGTAAAGAGAAACAGTTTCGTGGATTACAAAACCGAATTGAACAAGAACAAAAGTTTACTGTGGTTAGGGGTGGCCAGGTCATCCAGATACCTGTTGCAGAAATTGTTGTTGGTGACATTGCACAAGTCAAATATGGTAAGAATTTTATTTCCAACAGTCTTGTCATTTCTGCTTCTGCGTAATTTGAGTACAGCTACAGTACAATATATTCTAATATTTGTTGCTTTAAATGTTTGCAGGAATAACTAATCAAGTAATGTAGACTTGTATGTCAAGCTGCAAATAAACTAGGACAGGTTAATTCCACACTGAGAAGTAAACAAGAAAACATTGGAAACTGTACATTGCTGTAAAGCCAGAACAAGAAGCAACATGAAAAAGATGTCTGTTTTTGCCTTGCAGCATTCTACATTTTTTGTTCTATTGCCTTTATCATTGTCTCTAAAGGGCTATTTTTTCTTAGAGCTTTTCTTTAAACATATTTCTAAAGTCACTTATTATAGTCATATTTCCAAAATGATTTTTGACATCTTGAGTTCAGCTTTTCTGATGTTTGAGCTAAATATTGATTGATTTACATGTGTTCTATGCATGTTCCAGGTGACCTCCTACCTGCCGATGGTGTGCTGATTCAAGGAAATGACCTAAAAATTGATGAAAGCTCACTCACTGGGGAGTCTGACCATGTCAAGAAGAATATAGAAAAAGATCCATTGCTGTTGTCAGGTATTTTGGATTTTTTTTTTGGAGGTAAAAGTACGATTTGAATGCAGATAATTGTACTGGACTGGTAAAACTTACAACTAAAGACTATATATAATACTGTTCTTCCCCATTGAAGAACATTGTATATTAAGATTATTGATGAGGCACAATTTATTCACTATTCTGTGCTGTATTCTGGAACCTGACGATTGACAACAATGCCACCTACTTCAGCTCACATTTTGTCTGATCCTGATTTGTTGGAAAAAAGAAAACTATTTCATTGCTGCCTGCCATAACTCAGCTCTTTGTATATTGTTTCAATGAGGTGCCTAAAGACTTAAGCACCTCTCTAGGCCAGTGTGTAAGGGGAGTAGCTTAATGAGCTCAGCTTTGGAAGTCCTGCATCTGACATGGATCGGTTTATTTAGGAAGTTCTTTTTGTGTGCACTACTTTTGGCATATTTTCTGTGAATTGTATGAATAGACTTCATGCTGTTTGATATCCGACAATGATGAAGAAAATAATATTCTGCATTGGGGTATTTTGCTTGATATGCCAATGTATTGTGCATTTGAGACTAGTGTAAATCTAAAGCAATTATGGCTTTTCTGCTTTGCTGCTTATGTTTCACTGTACATCAAAGTTGCAGTTTCATTTTATAGAAACAAATCCCTTGTTCAGTGCAATTATCAATTAATGCAGTTTTTGATGCTGATGAGTTAGGATTTTTTAATCTTCTCCTACTTCATATTCTTCCTTTTTTAGAAGATGTACTGTAGCCCTAGTTATGTTTTCCAGTTGTTTCATAATGCATTACATTCAACTGGTGGTGGGAAAAATAAATTGGTAAGCTCACAACACTAACAGTTTTCAAAGGGAAATCTAACTTTTGTCCAAATTAACTTTTCAAGAGAAATAAAAAAATCTACAAATCTTACATGAAGTAAAACTGCATGTACATGTTCTTTAGTTTCTGCAAAATAAGGTATTAAATAATAATAATAATAATAATTGCTTACACTTATATAGTGCTTTTCTGGACACTCCACTCAAAGCGCTTTACAGGTAATGGGGACTCCCTCCACCACCACCAATGTGCAGCCCCACCTGAATGAAGCGACGGCAGCCATAGTGCGCCAGAGCGCTCCACACACATCAGCTATCAGTGGGGAGGAGAGCAGAGTAATGAAGCCAATTCATAGATGGGGATTATTAGGAGGCCAAAAATGGGAAATTTGGCCAGGACGCCGGGGTTACACCCCTACTCTTTTCGAGAAACGCCCTGGGATTTTTAATGACCACAGAGAGTCAGGACCTCGTTTTTATGTCTCATCCGAAGGATGGTGCTTATTTACAGTATAGTGTCCCAGTCACTATACTGGGGCATTAGGACCTACACAGACCGCAGGGTGAGTGCCCCCTGCTGGCCCCACTAACACCTCCTCCAGCGGCAACCTTAGTTTTTCCAAGGAGGTCTCCCATCCAGGTACTAACCAGGCTCACACCTGCCTCGCTTCAGTGGGTTGCTAGTTGTGAGTTGCAGGGTGATATGGCACCTAGTATTTTCAAGGTTTGAGTTTGAAGACAATTTTAATTTGAGCAGGCTTATTTTCTCATTAGGTACCCATGTAATGGAGGGTTCTGGAAAAATGGTAGTCACTGCTATAGGGGTGAACTCCCAAACTGGAATAATCTTCACTTTACTTGGAGCTGGGGATGAAGATGAAAAAGACAAAGAAAAGGATGAGAAAGAGAAGAAAAAAGACAAAAAAAGTATGTTAAGGTTTCCTTAATGTCTTGCTAATGTGTAAATGTTCCTGATATTCATTTGTGAATGTTATTTATGCCCTAGCTTTTCATGAAGAGTATAAACAGAATTTAATGCTAATAACATTTTTAATCTTCACCCAGTCTTCAATATTTCCATTGTTTCTTGAAATGCAAGTTGCAAGATAGGTAAAAAAGTTGTCATGTTTAACAATGTTTTAAGATATCTAGTATAATGCAAAATAAGAAGTAGGCAAGAACACTTGGTTAGCTTTTTCAAGGAAGCAAGTGTCATTTATTTTAAATTGATAACAGTTCCATAATGTTAGACAGTAGGGCTGCTTTTTTTGATGATTAATGTACAGTCTTCATTTTGTACTAAAATAATATTGAACACATTAAAAGCTCCCTTTCCCTGATTGCATTTGAAATAGTGCCCTTTGTCATAGATCCCAAAACAATCCTCCTAATTGGTTGTTTTTTGGGTTTCTGATTTTTTTCTGATTAATTTGACAGTTGTGTCTTCAGAACAAATACAATACCTTTCTGTAATGAAACTGAAATTTTAAGGTTGTTGAATTCATCTTGTACACACTGTCATGTCTGTGCCTAAATTGAGAGGACTGTCCCACTGACCTTTGAAGGTGGATTTGTCACAAACAGTAAAATTGCACAGTCTGCACAGTCCTAGTAATCAGTGTTCTGATTTTCTTAGACATTCTTGCTTGATAACAATGATCTTTAAAAGTACCAAAAAATGAGTAATGTTTAACTGTAAGCTTTTTATCAGGACTACAGGAGCTCTAGTGTTGTTTACAAAGTTTAATGAAATTAAGTATCCTTATTGAAGGACTTGGGAAATTTTAGACTGAGCATCTGCATTCAAAACATTTTGCTGGAGTGTTCTAGATGTTGGCTGAAAAAAGTCTGAACTGTTTGCATTGATGCATACTCCCTGCATTGTGTAATAACTTATTACTGATACTCTTTTCAGACAAAAAGCAAGATGGATCTACTGAAAATCGCAACAAAGGTAAATCCTGAAATATGCTTAAGCTCTTGTTGCATTAGCAGATTATCTTAGATACAGTGTTTAATAATGTAGTAGAAAGAACTTTGAGAAGTTATTTTATAACTGTTTTCTTAATTTAAAAATGTGCTCTGCAGCTGAGAAAGGTAGGCGAGGAATATGCTGCCAGAACAAATAAGAATGAAAGATGTTTTTTGCATTCTTTTTTTACTAGAAAGGAGCTCCCACTTGTTGCAGTGAACAAGCAAAGCTAAGCTTTTGAAGGCTTAAATATTTTTCAATATAGTTTCAAGTAGGTCATGATGAAAAATACACGTTACGTTTGTGCTCAAAATGTAAAATGAAAAACTAAATACAGGAAGTGTATGTCGCACCAAGTTTCAATTTTCTAGTATAGGATGTTTTCAAATTGTGTCTTGTCATAGGGAGTAATGTATTAAGATTTAAGTGGTTTCATTATAATAATTTGGACCAGATTAATTTGTCTTTTTGTGGTAGATGTGGGTCAGTTGTGTAAGTTTTCCATACTATTTGCAGTGTGTTTAAGAGTGTTTAATCTATGCAGAATATTAAATAATTTTTTGAGACTTTTCAAAGTTAGTCTTAACATGGTAAGAGTGATTTTAATGTCCTTTACTCTCTATCTCAGCTAAAGCTCAGGATGGTGCTGCTATGGAAATGCAGCCTCTTAAGAGTGAGGATGGTGGGGATGGTGATGATGCTAAGGAAAAAAGAAAAGCAAATTTGCCAAAGAAAGAGAAATCTGTTCTTCAAGGGAAGCTCACAAAACTAGCTGTCCAAATTGGCAAAGCAGGTGAGTTGCAAAGGAGTAAACACCCATTTTGTATTATACAGTGTCTTAGTAAATAACTTATTTTAATAGGACAATTAATTCTTTTGTGCTGATATATTGCAAACATGTAAACTTTTTTTTTCACTTTTCCTCTTCCATAGGGCTTGTGATGTCTGCCATTACTGTCATTATCCTTGTGCTGTATTTTGTCATTGACACCTTCTGGATCCAAGGACGTCCGTGGCTTAAAGAGTGCACACCAATTTACATCCAATATTTTGTCAAGTTCTTCATCATTGGTGTCACAGTATTGGTTGTTGCAGTACCTGAGGGTCTTCCTCTTGCTGTTACTATTTCTCTGGCTTACTCTGTCAAAGTAGGTGACAGACTTGTTTTACTTTTTACACAAAAGAAATGTTCATTTCTTGACATCTTTTAAGTGAATGTTGAGTGTTTAGAAGTGCCTAGCCTTACACATTCTAGATAAAACAAGGTCTGCAGAATAGACCACAAATGTCTCCATATCTAATCTTTTGGGATCTTATTTTCCCAAAGTACATTTTCTGAATGTTTTATTTAAACATTCAAATATACCACTGTGCAGGTTATACTTAAAACTGCTTATGAAACAAGAATTAAGAACGCAGTGAAAGTCATGACATTCTCCATGTTTTTATAAAAAGAGGAAGGGTTTACCTGTGCTGTCACAGTATGATGTAAAGACAAATAAGCACATTAATGTTCCTGATGTTCTATATTGAACATAGGTTTGGGTTAATGAAATGTTTAATGTTAATAAATGTCTTATTATTAAAAAAAATAAGATTTGCCTTATTTCACACTGTTTTTTGGCTATGTATATTTAATCGGGTTTCCAGTGTGAAATTCAAACAATGGGAATTTTATGCAAGAAGTCTTTTTATGCTTTAGTTTCACTGACTCTGGGCATTCCCACACAAAGATACAGCTAGATCCATATCAGGACTTTATGGAGGGCAGAACACAGCCTTCCATCTTGGTTTTTTAAATCACATTTAGCGCTCTGGACTCTGAGCTGAAGATTGTAGATTCCAAATTCTAGGTCTTTATTTTGTTCCTTTGAGCAAGGTTCAACATAAATGCCTGTCTGCATGAACGAGTACTATAGGTTGTCTTTGTCCTTATCCCATAATCCATATTCAGTTCAGGAAATTAACAACTCCAATTTAAACAGTTTTGAATTAGTGTTTACTTTTTCACCTGAACTTAGTTTGGTACTTTTATCCTTTTTCATGAGAACTGTCAGAGCAACATCTATGTTACAGGTAAAGGCATTCATGGTTAGGAAACTGCCAGTCTAGCCATTGCTTCTGTTCTGTATGCTGATTGACAAATTTACTTACCACCTTCAGACATGTAACTAGTATTAAATATGACCATTATACTGTAAATCTTGGTAGAAGAAGAAATGGTAGATTTTCTAGCTGAAAATGTATAGGTTTATCAGTTAACATTGCAAAAACATTTTGAAGTTGGTGTCTTAGTATAGAAGAAGCCTGCCAGTCTAGGTTAATGGTAATACTTAGTTTGTATTGAATGTTTGTTAATGATTACTACCAGAATGTATACATTTTCACAATGATAAATTTGAAGATGAGCAGTTGTTTCACTACATGAGTATTTAAAATCATCAGCTCATTTCTCATGTCAGAATCCTCAATCACCTCATCTAAAGGGATTATTAAGTTAATGTGATTTCTGTTGCTGTTTTAATCAGTGAAGTTGAAAGGTTTTTTTCTTTGTTTTAATGTATATGACATTAATCAAACTTGTATTGACCTGTTTTTTTTTTTTACTCATTTCAGAAAATGATGAATGATAATAATTTGGTAAGGCATCTGGATGCCTGTGAAACCATGGGTAATGCTACAGCTATCTGTTCTGATAAAACTGGAACTCTGACCATGAACCGAATGACTGTTGTTCAAGTATACATTGCAGATAAGCATTACAGAAAGATCCCTGAACCAGAAGCTATCCCCGAGAACACTTTGGACCTCCTTATTACAGGGATTGGAGTTAACTGTGCTTACACTACTAAAATCCTGGTAAGTATGAACTGATGTTTATGTAATATTTCTGTTTTTTCCAATATTTGTTTATAACACTAATTTGAAATGACAATGTTGAATTCAATATTAAATGTGCAACTTCATCTTAAAGGTATTTTACTTTTAATTATACAAGAGGCTGTTGAAATACACTAAATTCATTGGATTTAAGTTACAAAAGCAAAATAAATGCTTTCTTCATTTCTTGCTTGCTTCAACATTTGTGCTAATATTTAAATATCCAAATTCCATCTGGATTTCTGGTACAATGTATTGTGCATATCCTTAAAGCTGTAAACCATATTAGAATTCTTTGTTTGAAGAATATCTTAACTTTCACTTCTACATTTATGTTCAACACCAATTAATCATCTAATTTCCGGTTGTATTAAACATTGTTTGAACCAGGTGAGTAGCAGTAACATTTCCCAACTGTTCAATGCTGTTTAAGAAAGGAGAACCCTAATGTAAATCTGCATCTCCATATATTAAAGTGAATACATTTTTGAGTAACAATATTTCAAAGAAAGTGTGACAGTATCTATAACTGGATATGTACGTACTACTACCTACTTTCTGGCTTAACTGAATATTTACTAGAAAACCGCTGTTATGTATATGCACTTATGTGCTAATAGGGCCATAGTCCCTCTTCCGGTGCTATACAGCCGGTTGTGATCACAGAAGCACTTTTATACTGCTGTGCACATTTACAGTCTTTTTGTCTTTTTTTACATTTTTGGACAAAAGGATATTTGAACATCATTCCAACAATACTGATAGACAAACATGATCTAATTTAAAAAAAATAACATTGAAAAATTCCAATTTAAATCAACAGAAATGCAATGTGTGGAAAAAGTTAGTACACCCCTACCTTTATCATTGCATCAAATGCCTAAAATTAGAATCAGGTGAACCAAAACAGCAAATGATGGGAAAGTTCATTAGAGAGTAACTTGGAAGGCAATGCCTTAAATGAACATTAGAAACCTGTGGTCTGGTTTGTTCTTAACAATTGAGGTGTGTGGCTACATCATGCCAATAATAATTAATAATAATTGCTTACACTTATATAGTGCTTTTCTGGACACTCCACTCAAAGCATCCACCTGGATGATGTGATGGCAGCCATAGTGCGCCAGAATGCTCACCACACATCAGCTATAAGTGGGGAGGACAACAGAGTAATGAAGCCAATTCATACAGTAGATAGGGATTATTAGGAGGCCATGATTGGTAAGGGCCAATGGGAAATTTGGCCACGACCCCAGGGTTACACCCCTACTCTTTTCGAGAAATGCCCTGGGATTTTTAATGACCACAGAGAGTCAGGACTTCGGTTTTACATCCCATCCGAAGGATGGTGCTTTTTTACAGTATATTGTCCCCATCACTATAATGGGCCATTAGGACCCACACAGACCGCAGGGTGAGCACCCCCTGCTGGCTCCACTAACATCTTTACCAGCAGCAACCTTAGATTTTCCTAGGAGGTCTCCATCCAGGTACTAACCAGGCTCACACCTGTTTAGTTTCAGTGGGCTGCCAGTTGTGAGTTGCAGGGTGATATGGCTGCTGCCAAGATCAAAAGAGTTCTCTGAGGCTCTTGGAAGAAAGATTATGCCTATGCGTCTGGGAAGGGTTTTAAAGCCATTTCCACGCAATTTGTAGTCAATCACTCCACTTTCCGAAAGATCATCTACAAATGGAGAAAATGTCAAACCACTGGCAGTCTATCCAGGTCAGGTCGCCCCACCAAATTCAGCCCAAGAGCTGACCGAAAGATGCTGCTATTGGAGGACTATTGGAACAATGTGCTCTGGATGGATGAGACAAAGGTAGAGCTGTTTGGCCATAATGCCAAATGTCATTTTTGGCAAAAACCAAAAACTGCCATTGATCAAAAGAAGCTCATACCAACTGTAAAGCATGATGGTGGACACATTATGGATTGGGGCTGCTTTTATGCCTCAGGGCCAGGCCAGCTTGCCATCATAGTCAACCATGAATTCCACATTGTAGCAGAGAGTACTTGAGGAAAATCTGAGGCAATCTGTCAAAAAGCTGAACCGTAAGTGGACCATGCAACAAGACAATGACCCAAAACACTCAAGCAAATCCACAAAAGAATGGCTCAAAAAGAAGAAATGGAGGATTATGGAATGGCCAAGTCAAAGCCCAGATCATAACCCGATAGAAATGCTGTGGGCTGTACAAGAAAGCCCTCAAACATCATACACTTGAAGGAGTTCTGTAAGTAGGAGTGTGCTTAAAATTCTCCCAGTTGATTTAGGAGACTGATAAACAATTAAAAGAAACACCTACAAGAAGTGATTTCATCCAAAGGGGGTAACACCCAGCTATTGAAGCTAGGGGGTGTACTTTATTTTTTCCACAGCAGACAATTGCATTTCTGACTTTTTTGTTGAATAAATGATTACAAAGAATTTCCATTATTTGTTAAGTTAGATCACCTTTATCTGTTAATATTGTTGAAATTCATATCAAATATCCGTAAATGCAAATATGTTGAAAAATACACACCTTTTCATAGGGTGTACTTACTTTTTCACAGCACTGTATGTTGGCTTCATTATTTTGCGACAATGCATTGTATACATTCCATTATTCTTACAGAATTGAAAAGTGCAGGATTCGTGTAGCTCTTTTGAAATTTTTTAGGTGTTTAATAGATTGTGATTTTTTTTTATCGATTTGGGTTTCAACAAAAAATGGTTACAACAATGTAAGTTGCCTCTTCCCTGCCAGACGCTTGTGACTCTGTTGCTTTTTTGCATGTTTAGCTCCTACTAAAAAAAACTTGACTTTTTGAATGATTGTAAAAAAGATGTTTGAAAGACATGCGTAGAAAAGGAACACTTACTCACGGGTCTGGGTGAGAAATGTAGAGAATGAAGATCTAGTGATTTTTTTGTATTCCCATGCTTCATGTAATTCTACCAGTGATTAACTTGATATATCTAAGGTGCCATTTTGATCTTCATTGTTGCTGATTAGAGGATAAAGGTTCTCCCTCATGCAGTTCAGCTCAGATAAGATTTGCCCTTATTGAGGTGTGCATGGTTTTATGGTGTTGGCTGCATGTTAACTCAAAGAACAGAAGCCACAGAAGTCGTCATTTGTGGTATTGGTGCCCTATAAGAAATGTATGTAGCTCCCTTTGAAAAATATTTAAATTGATAAATTAATAAATGGCAGCAAGACTCCTGGAGCAGTTTGTATGACTGTAATATTTATATTTTGCTTTGTGCTTCAGCGGTAAGGTATATAGGTCCTTATTTACTCTCTACGTGTAATTAACAAGACAAAGCTCGAAGAATTAAATTGTTTTGTGGTTGCTGTTTGATGTACGGAGCACTATTGCTGCCCTTCTATCCAGGATCAATTTCCTCACTACTTGGAGGGTCGGTTTTCTGCTTCCAGACCATATTCCAGTTTTTTGTTTTGTTTAGTCAAAGCAATCTTGTTGTGTTTTTCTTGTATGTATAATTTCAGCACTATCAAGGAATCTTTCCTGATTCCTGTTATTTTGACACACATTTTAGAGACTTTCCCTGTTTGGAGATGTTTTGACTAAGACAAACTTCAAGATCTCTCTATCATGATAAGTACAGAATGTTTTCTTCTCCATTTGAACTGTTTTTGTATCTGAGTTTTGAACTGAGTAATTGTATCTGGGGAGGCAGTGTCTGATGTATCTAAATTGCAGTCTGGGAATTGAGGTCTGTTTTACCTAGTCTCAGCACAGTTCCATTTGGAACATGTGTGCCTTATGTGTGTGTTGTCTTAGGAGTTCTAAAGATGCTCTAAGCACTGGTTCAATAAAAATACATTTAGAAGAATTTAAAGGTATGTTTTTAAGCAGAAGCTCATGTTGCTTTCTTGCACCATACTAAAGATCAGATAAGATCAGTTTATTGGCCATATACAATTTCTTGTATTAGGAATTTGTCTTTTCGCATACCCCAACTTTGCTCTCCATGAGAGACATAAGGAGAGTAGTTTGGGATCAGAGCATAGCCATTTATAAAGCGCCCCTGGAGCAGTTGGGTTTAAGGGCCTTGCTCAGGGGCCCAACTAAGTAGGATTCTTCTGCCGGCTGCGGGATACGAACCGGCAACCTTCTAGCCACAGTCGCAGATCCTTAGTCACAGAGCCACTGCACCGCCCCTAAAGATCTGTATAATGATGAATAGCTATTAATCTGTTATGATTCTGAAGCAAAGGCCAAGCTCCTCATCTGACGAAGGCACTTGTCCATGCACAGATTAAGATCTCTGTTGCATCATGGGTCTGGGTCTGGGTCATGTCATTAGCGTACTATGACTAGGATTTCCCTAAATGGAGTGGTGCCGAGAGTATCCTGTTGGTGTGACCTCTGAAATTTGGACCACTTTATAGACTTGCAGTACCATCAGTGAAGGATATGACTCTCTTATCAGTGCTGTACCTCCAGTATGGGGCTGTTGCATGTGATGTGTTTAGATGAGTGACTTGAAGGCAGGCTGGGCAGCAGAATGCGTAACGATGTGAAAAGAAAACGCAATTGGAGATTCAGAAAAATAAAGGATTAGAACAAAATAATTATAAAGTTGAAATAGTTCATCGTAGACTCATCTGTTTAGTTTTTATTAGTGATATCTGAAAATCTATGCTACAGGTATTGACATGACTTCTGAATTTTAGACCATAGTCACGGAAGGCAGGCTCTGCTCAATGGTTTCAGGTGTGTGCTAGTTCTATGACTATGTGACTCTCTAGCACTCAGAATAAGTATACCTTTTCGGGTCCCGTCTGTGTTTGAGGAAGGAAGTCCCATCCGCAGTGGCACATGTTCCTCCAAAGGATCCAGAATTACTCCAGTATCAATAATTAACATTCCATACCACTCCATACCCGTGTTACTTCATATTTAAAGGATAAGAGTTTACTCTTTATATATGTCTGGATACCTTTTATCTTGGGAGCAGCTGGTACATTTCTTTGTTCAAAGCATTAAACTAGCAACTTTTCTTCTCATAAAATGCTTCCAATCAGTTCAAAATAGGAATTTGAAGTTCACCAAGCAATGCATGTCTACATATATTGAGGTATAACATTTTCTGTGGACCCTTTTTAGTGCAGTAAAGTTGAGCCAATGATTTGTCTTCAGGTTGAAAAGTGTAAGATGCTTAAAATCTGCATAAATTCTTTCTCTTATTCTTACAGCCTCCTGAGAAAGAAGGTGGCCTGCCACGCCATGTAGGGAACAAAACTGAATGTGCCTTGCTGTGCTTTGCTTCAGATTTAAAAAGAGACTACCAGGCAGTACGGAATGAAATCCCAGAAGAAAAGCTCTACAAAGTCTATACTTTTAACTCGGTCAGAAAATCCATGAGCACAGTCCTTAAGAATGTAGATGGAAGTTACCGCATGTTTAGCAAAGGAGCATCAGAGATTCTACTGAAGAAGTATGTGTAACTTTTTCCACAGTTTTGTGATTGCAGCTACAGTGTATATAAAAAATCTGCACACCCTTATTGAAATTGCAGGTTTTTGTGATGTAAAGCCAGAAATCAAGATAAATCATGTCAGTCAGTTTTCCATCTTTAATGTGACCTAGCAACAAACAAAATTCAAGAGAAAAACAAATAGATCAAAAAATTATTGAAATTAAAAAACCTACAATACCTTGGTTATATAAGTGTGCACCCCCTCCCCCCTCAACTACCACTTTGTGGAAGCACCTTTTACATTTATTACAGCAGTAAGTCTTTGTGAATTAGTCTCTATCAACTTTGCAAACCTGGACTTTCCAATTTTATCCCACTCTTCCTTGCAAAAAGGTTCAAGCTCCTTCAAATTGCCAGGGCATCTCATGTGCACAGCCCTCTTAAGGTCATTCCACAGGTTTTCTATTGGATTGAGATCTGGGCTCTGACTGGGCCATTCCAAGACGTTGATCTTCCTTTTCTGAAGCCATTCCTTAGTTGACTTGGATGTGTGCTTTTGGCTGTTTGAAGGTGAAGTTCCTCTTCATCTTCAGTTTTGACAGAAGCAAGCAGGATTTGTGCCAAAATTTATTGATATTTCGAGCTAGTCATTATCCCATCTATCATGACTACAGTCCCTGTCCCAGCTGAAGAGAAGCAGCCCCAAAGCATGATGCTGCCACCACCATGCTTCATAGTAGGTATGGTGTTCTTTGGATGATGAGCTTTGTTGTCTTTGCGCCAAACATATCTTTTAGAATTATGGCCAAAAAGTTCAATCTTTGTCTCATCAGACCATAAGACATTTTCCCACATGGTTTGGGGTGATTTAGGCTTCTGTCTTACCACCGTACCCCATAGCCCATGTGTGCAGAATATGGGAGATTGCTGTCCCATGCAAGGAGTTAACAGTACCTGCCAGAAATTCCTGCAGCTCCTTTAATGTTGCTGTAGGCCCCTTGGTAGCTGCCCTGATAAGTTTTCTCCTTGTCCTGTCATCCACTTTGGAGCATCGTCCTGATCTTGGCAATGTCCCTGTGGTGCTACATTTCCTCCACTTAGTGATGAGTCTTCACAGTGCTCAATGGTACATCCAATGCCTTTGATATTCTTTTATACCCCTCTCCTGATCGATACCTTTCAACAATAAGATCCCGTACATGTTTTGTCAGCTCTTTGCAGACCATGGCTATTCCAGTAGGATGCAACCATGGAAGTTTCAAGGAAATCCTACAGGAACAGCTGATTTTTATTTGGGGTTAATCAGAATCACTTTCATTGATGGCAGCTGTGCTACTTACCTTTGGACATGATTTTGACTGTGATTGGTTAACTATGAACACAGCTACAGCCACCATCATAAAAGGGTGTGCACACTGTGGAATGACTTAAAGAGGGCTGTGCACATGAGATGCTCTGGCAATTTGAAGGAGCTTGAACTTTTTTGCAAGGAAGAGTGGGATAAAATTGCAAAGTCCAGGTGTGCAAAGTTGATAGAGACTTATTCACAAAGACTTACTGCTATGATAAATGTGAAAGGTGCTTCCACAAAGTGGGTGGGTGGGGTGCACACTTATGCAACCAGGGTATTGTAGGTTTTTTAATTTCCGTTATTTTGTTGGTTGCAAGCTCACATTAACGATGGAAAAATGTCTGACATGATTTATCTTGATTTCTGGCTTTACATCACAAACACCTGCAATTTCAATAAGGATATGTAGACCTTTTATATCCATTGTATATAGCTTTTATGTTTAATAAGTCTTTTTGTTTTCTGTCATTGTTTACAGATAAAATCTGTGCACTACTTACCGATGTGCAAGCCGTATTTTGAGTTTTTTTCTTTATGCTGGTGTGCTGCTGTTTTCTAGGTGTTTTAAAATTCTCAATGGGAATGGTGAAGCCAAAGTTTTCAGACCCAGGGATCGGGATGATATGGTGAAGAAAGTTATTGAGCCCATGGCTTCAGAAGGACTAAGAACTATTTGCGTGGCATACAGAGACTTCCCAGCTGGAGAACCAGAGCCTGACTGGGATAATGAGAATGACATATTAACAAGTTTGACCTGTATCTGTGTGGTAGGAATTGAGGACCCAGTAAGACCAGAGGTAAGAGCAGTGTGAAAGTTACTTTTTAATTAATATTATTAGATGGTAACTATATTTATACTCCCATACCACCCAGTGGCTTGCACTTGGTTCATTTGTGCAGAATATCAGAAGGCTTAATTGGTTTAGGTCGTAAGAGAAGTGAAGATCACAAAGTAGTTTCTGGTAGCATGGAAAACACTGGATTGTTAATGAAAATAGATATTTTTTTCACATCTGCTATAGGGATTGGATTGCTGCTGCAAACAACACGCATCAAAATTAATTCTGGTCATCACTCATTTCTCTTCGTCAAACACCAGATGTAACAGTTGAAGTCCTCTTAAAATTGCCTGTTATTTTCATACCCACTTGATTTTTAGAATTGCCATTATTATTTCACATCTTGGTCCTTGGATACAAACACTGCAGTACCACACAGTAGAGAATAAAAAGGTATAGCCAGACTCCTCAGCTTAACCCACCTTTAAGCCACTAGTCTTTGAACATGTCACAGACAACATAGTCATATAGTGGAGGTTCAAAGCCACTGCAAACCTGCAAGTTCACAGGAGATAACAGGAGCTGTTTGCTGAGAGAGCTGTGGCCAATTTGAAAATCTTAATACTTAGGCCATTCGGGAGGCCCTCTAATAGTTCAAAGTACATTTGTAATAGTGATTTATACTGTTTGTGTTTGGGGGGTAATGAGCCTGTTATCTATGGGACAAAACTAGTTTTATTTAACAAAAACGTTTGAATAGGTGGGTATTTTCCTTTAAGGAGCTATGGTTGTGTTTATTAAAATGCCATTATATAGTATTTAAATATCAAAGGATATAAGCAGCTATTATGACACTTTGAAGTGTGCTTTGCTCTTTGAAGCACCTATAGATGTACCATTAACAAATCTTAAAGATTTTGGCTGAACATTTTATTACATGGTTTAATGTAAATAGGTATCATGTATTCCTTTGTTCTTCTGAGTGTAATTCAACGCTGAAAGCACAATTATTTAGAAAGGATATTTCTCCTTTTAAAGTACAGTGGCAAATTTTATACATCTTCCTTTAAATTTTCAATTTGTTTCTTATTGCAAATTAGGTTCCGGATGCTATCAAAAGGTGTCAACAAGCCGGGATCACAGTTCGTATGGTTACTGGGGACAATATAAACACAGCTCGTGCAATTGCCACAAAATGTGGAATTTTACATCCTGGGGATGAATTCTTATGCTTGGAAGGTAAAGAGTTCAACAGGCGAATACGGAATGAAAAAGGAGAGGTGGGTGTGTTCAGCGTCTTACAAAATCAGCTATTTATTCTTCATTGTTTATTTTTAAAATGCTTACCTCTTTGCTCTTTCCAGATTGAACAAGAACGCATTGATAAGATATGGCCTAAACTTCGGGTACTAGCAAGATCATCTCCGACTGATAAGCATACGTTAGTGAAAGGTACTTCAGAATTTATATTTTACAGTTTTTTAGTGGATTATTTTTCAATTACATAAACAAGCTATGGATGGAATTTGTTATAGACAATTTAAAGGTGATGAGCAAAAAATTGATTTATTTTGGCAGTTAGCTTAAGTAATGTTATTAATAGACACGCCATAGATGACTAGAAAATAAGTTATTTCTTTCGACCTCCATAGCAACTTCGAGTTTTAAATTTAAATTTAAGAAGCATTTTGAAGTTTCCGATTGTAATGTCAATTAAAGTCAAAATGTTGACATTATCTCAAAAACAGGAGCACTTTGAATATTTGCAACATAATGAGTTGTTCATCAAACTTTAATAAAGGAAAAAATGATCATCTGGATTCATTATAAAAGATTGTTTTGTACTCCGCATCAAAAGAAGCCTATTCGGTATAGCTGTTAAAAAAATCACAAACCTAAGAAGATAATAACTATTCCTGGGGCATGTGCAGTGGCATTTTGTGAAACGGATGAGAAGTAACTTAATTAGGCCAATTAACATTTGTCATTAACTGGATTGATAAGCAGGAGTTCTACTGTGGAAAATCAAGTACTAATAGCAGGTGTAACCACCTTTGAAAACTATACAAGATGTATATCTCTGAAGTGTGGTGAGTGGGGTATCCCTGGCATAACTGTAAAATTCTCATCTTGCAAGAAAGTTGGTACATGAGTAGCATGTGGATGTCTGTTCTAAGAATGTAGTCACTTCAGGATTGCCCCTCAGGCAGTATAGCAAGTGAGGGTCTGGGAGTTGATTAGTATAGCACTGCAGTCAGGTTGCCATCACTGCAAGATTTAGATTTTTGTGGCAAACTTCCTGGCCAGACCAAGACACATGGACCTCCCTATCGATCTTGATGTCTTGTTGACTCATCTTGCACAAAAGCATTTTTCTCTTGATAATTGGAGCATATTGATTAATTTCGTCTTTTGTTAGGCTTCACATTCAGCAGATAAAATCACCATCAGCTTTCTCAATGATGATGTCATATTAGTGTTTATGCATCAAAGTCACTGAAGTGTCTCAGTCATGAATGACCACTTAATCAAATTAGCTTCAAAAACATTTAATCAGTTTCCATATTCCTTCCATATTTTAATTAATACCTTAATAGCATTATTTGTTTCAGTACTCACACTTTTACGTAATTTGACAGCCCCCAGGAATTTGGCAAAATGACTGAATTTGAAGTAATTTTAAAAACGGCCTAACCTGTCATGTCTTATGTCATTTTTGTAGGCGGCAAGGAATAATCTTCAAGACTTTAAGAAGTAATCAGGGGAATAATTGTACTATAGCCTGAGTTTTTCCTCATTATTACATAGCATTGCATCAAGGGAGTCAGTGTTAAGTCCAACTTTCTTCCTGTCTGTGCAATATTACATTGATGTCATCATTTCTCTAATCAATGTTTTCACTTACTGTCAAGCTAATTACAATCAGTACGTAATGTCAAAATTGTCAATTGTGAATATGCATGAGCAGCCTGTTTGAGGGCATGGCTCATATCATATTGTATCACATCTAAACCATACCCTGTCATACCCATTCCTTGGCATGCGTACCCTGCCCTGCATGGTATTTGAATATTTCTGCCCATCATTGACAGCTGAAAATGTGTTGACTTTCTCAAAGGCCACTGGCAGAGTCTATATTCTATGTAGAAAGAATGTGAATACAAATGAAGGTGCAGAAGAAAAACTGACGGTAAAATGACAGCAAAAGCACACACCCCTAAAACTTGCCACGAAAGAAGCTATTAGTAGTCCTTGTGTTCTTTTATCTAGAATGGCCAGAGACTTGGCTTTTGTGCCTGTAGTCTAAACATCAGTTGTAATTATGAACTTTGGAAAAAGATAAAAGAATCAAAACCATAAATGGATTAATTTACTCAAACCATTTCTTAACGACATGGTTTACCATTACAGATGCCAAAAATGAAATGGAAATTCTTTGCTCATTATCTTTAGTGACAAAGGGTGATGGTAAATATAAATGGGTATAGTTTTTCTCTTACATTCATGTACCATGGTAGCATTTAGTAAATTTGTCTGCCCCCTGCAGAAAAAATGAGCACATGCTTACACATGTATATATCTGTTTTTGTTGTCATGTAATGAAGGATATTACAATGCTGCATTCATTTTTCTTACAGGTATCATTGACAGCACAGTAGTAGAACAAAGGCAGGTTGTGGCAGTAACAGGGGATGGTACAAATGATGGCCCTGCCTTGAAGAAAGCAGATGTTGGATTTGCGATGGTACATTTTCAACTTCTTCCTAGAAAATTTTTTAATAAAATTTTAGCTTTAAACTCTTGTGATTTATCTGGTTTTAAATAAAACTTCAATGTTTTAAAACAGGATGAAATGGAAGACAAATTCTACTTTTGCTGCATTCTTCCTTACTACTTCAGCCTCCCAATTCTGTTTTAATGCCTTTATGTACTTACCACTGAATGACAAACTTTGTACAAGTGCATTTACTGTACATAGATAGACCTGTGGGCATAACTTTCTTCAGCTATTGAGAAAAAAAAATTGTAAGATCTGTTAAAGACCTGAGGTCATTCATGGATTGTTTATTCGTATACCTCTGTAAAGTTACATTAATCTCCCATTCGCCTTAACTTAGATTTTGGTACCCAATACGGTACACTGCTTTGTCTGCCAGTTATATAACCAAAGTAAAACAATATAAAATGTAAACATCAAGCTTGATACATTAATGTTTAATTGTATTTAGCTTCTTTATTTTTATACAAACAATTTAAACCAATCTGCTCGGCAGTCTTCAAACTGACAGGCTAATGTTTTCTAGGGCATTGCTGGTACAGATGTAGCAAAAGAAGCTTCTGATATCATCCTTACGGATGACAACTTTAGCAGCATTGTCAGAGCTGTGATGTGGGGAAGAAACGTATATGACAGCATCTCCAAGTTTCTCCAGTTCCAGCTTACTGTCAATGTTGTGGCTGTAATTGTTGCTTTCACTGGTGCCTGTATTACACAGGTAAGATGTGTGTTGTCTTATTCTTTAGATAAAGTGTCAGGTTGTGTTGGTTGTTGATTACGTATATCTCATGCTAATATATCTGTATTTTTTCTTAATGTCCATGATGCTTGTTTTCAGCAGGACATTAGTTTTTATGTAAACATTTTGTTTTATTCTCTTAATCTTTGAAAAATAAATAAAAAATCACCCATACTGAATTCATATTATGGTTTATTCAGAGATGCAGACAAAAAAAAAGTATTCAAAGTAATTGCATAATGTTTTGTCTCCAGTCTGTGTATCATTCGATTTTAAGGTAGTAACTATTCTTTAAATGCCTTGATTTTTATACATTCATAGGATTCTCCCCTAAAAGCTGTACAGATGTTATGGGTCAATCTGATCATGGACACATTTGCGTCTTTGGCTTTGGCAACTGAGCCACCCACTGAATCACTTCTGCTGAGAAAACCTTATGGCAGAAACAAGCCTCTAATCTCTAGGACGATGATGAAGAACATTCTCGGGCATGGAGTATATCAGTTGACTGTAATTTTTACGCTGCTTTTTGCTGGTAAGCTGTTGTTGGTGTCTGATTGTTTTTTCCTTTTAGCCCAGTCCTAAGATTTCTTCCTCAATATTTATATAAACCGTATTGTGCAAGTAGATAATTGTAATGTCTACCACTGTATTTTTTTTATTTCAGTAGAAGTGTAAATGAAGATACTCATGCTGTTAATATTTTGGATCTTAAGAGTATGAAGCTGAAATCAAATTACAAAATGAGAAATCCATCACTAAGTTTGCTTGTTGTGTTTTATTAGTCATTTTCTTTATTTGAATTTGACAGTACACTACATAGATTGATCAGTTAAAAATGCTTATTTGTACATTGTAAATGGAATGTTTTGTGAAACATTTTTATGATACATAAGCCAGTCTGAATAATGGATTCAGATCAAAATTAAATGCTACAGATAAGGCTTTTTAGCTTATACAGCTAAGCATTTACAGTGCCTTGCGAAAGTATTCGGCCCCCTTGAACTTTTCAACCTTTTGCCACATTTCAGGCTTCAAACATAAAGATATA